AACCTCCAGGACCCTCAGAGAAATGAGACCACCAAGGCTACCATGGCCATCACTGCCACTCTGGCCACCTTGGCAACTATTGCCACCATGAGGTCACTGCGGCCATCAGAGGCACTCTGGACAACATGGTCTGTATGACCACCAAGGCCACTGTCAACACCAAGACTCCCTGACCCACCAGAGCCACTCTGACCACTGTGCACATCAGGGCAATTGTGCAAAGCAATCCTATTAAAAATTTCTATCAAAACAACTTCATTGAATAATCCTGTCCAAGCCAGCAAATCGAGACAATTCCTAAACAGGGCTCAATGTCTTTCCCCACACCAACAATCATGGGAATGTCTCTTTCTCTCCGGCTCAAGGAGAATCCCTGGGGAGCATTCCCTTCCCAAGGGAGGATTCTCACACACATTTCCTTCCAAGCAGAATAAGGGAGAGGAATCTCTGTCTCAGAGGGGGCCTCAATGTTCCCAGTGTCAGCTGATGGATGGCCAGGCCAAGCTCCGATGCTTCATCCTCACTTGTCAATTCAGCGTTGGTGATTTGGGCTGGTTTTAGCCCAATTCAGCACCAAAATCAGCAGAAGACCGCTCTCAGTGCAGCCTTGATGGCCACAAATGTGGCATTGTCCCTTGGGCACATTCCAGGCAGATCATCCTGCCACATCCTGCACTTCAGGGGGACCTTAAAGGCTGGGATTTGGGAGGTTCAACAGGGAAAGGGCAGGTCCTGTCCCTGGGGAGGGACAGTTCCCAGTGCCTGTCCTGGATGGTTGGTCTGCTGGAGCAGATCTGGAGAAGGATCTGTGGTGCTGGTGGGTAACCAGTGGAGCTGGCTGTGTGGCCTGGGGCCAGGAGAGACCCAGGGGATGTTGGAAAGAGTGGGGTCAATACGCCAGGGTCCCTCCATCCTAAAACATTGCAGAGCCCCTGGGGCCGGGATGGGGCGGATGGGCGCTCAGCAGCGCCAGCAGCTCGTGCTGCCGCCTGCTGTTGGCTCCCAGAACTGCAGCTGGGGGCAGCGCATGCGCAGTGCTGCTGATTTCCCGCGCTCCCTGCTGCCCTCCGGTGGACAATTCCCAAGCCACAACTCCAGGAGATGAGCGGGTAAAGTTGGAAAATTCCCTGCTTTGAAAGAAAAAAGATTTTCCTGAATGAAACATCAGGGGGTTTTTCCTTCAATAAATGGGTGGTGCTGCCTCTGGTCCCATGTCTCTATTTTATTTTTTATCCTTCTTCATTCTGTTTGTTTTTCTTTTTTTCCTCCCAATGCTTCTTCTGAAGTATTTCCTCAAATCAGGAACTTTGGAACTGGCCCCAAACTAATTGTTCATCCTTTTAAAATTGCACTCAACAGCTCCCTCAGCCCTTCCTGGTTCTCCAAACTCTTCCACTTTTCCATCTCTTCCCTGGACAAGCTCCGGCCCCTCCAGGTCCTTTCTGAGGGTCTGCAGTGAAAAAGGGAAACATATCCCTCTTCAGGAAAAAGGGAGGAATATTTCTCCATCACCTGTTTGAAGATCAAGCTTTGAAAAATAAAGCTTTCAGTGGTCTCTAAAGAAAACTCCAGGAACTGCTTTATTTTAGGAAATGAGGCACTCTGCAGGAAAGGCATTAAAGGAGCTGTAGGGGATGCATCAGGTGAGCCAGCAGCAAATTTTGGTAAACTTTTGATACACCCGGCGATCAAGGATCATGGTTTTATTCATTTCTTATACAGCAAGTGAGCAAGCAAGAATTTATTGCTACACCAGGCAAGGCAGCCAAGGAGCGCTAGGAGGTGGCCATGACATTGCCACTCCCCAACCCCTCTGTCAGGAAGTGCCCAAGTGGCCCCAGGTGCTGGCCAATCTCTGCTGTCCATGCTGTCCTGTGCTGTCCTGGCAGCTCCAGCGCCCTCGTGCTGGTCCTGCTGGCCTGGCATCATTCCCTCACTGGGCACCTCTTGGAGGGGCTTTTCTAGGATGGATACCTTGGTACAGTGACCATGGTGGCCACAGTGGCTGTGGTGGCCACGGTGAACTTGGTCGCCTTGGTAGTCATGGTGTCAATGGTGGTCTCAGTAGTTGCAGTGAACACAGTAGTCACAGTGTGCATGGTGACATCACAGGTCACCGTGGGCACATTGGCCATGCAGATGATTGTGATTCCAATGCCCAGAGTGGCCACAGTGGTTGTAGAGACCAAAGTGGCCACAGAGGCCGAAGTGGCAATAACGGCCACAGTGGTCACTGTGGGAAAAAGGGACCATAGTGGTCATAATGTCCTCCGTAGATTTGGTGGCTTCATTCTCTGGGGGTCCTGGTGGCCTTCGTCCTGGTGGCCTTCCACAGTGGCATCCAAGACCACCGTGACCTTGGTGGCCTTGTGGCTTAGAGGGTTCCAATGGCCACTGCCATGGCCACGGTGGCCAGGTGAACCCCCCAAAGATGGGGGGAGTTCCTGGGGAGGCTCCCACCTGTGGGGACAAAGAGAGGGGTCAGGGGGATCCTGGGGTGGGAGGATCAGGGATGCATCAGGATGGCTGTGGCAGGAGGGACAGAGGTGGTGGGGGGCCCTGAGGATGTGGGGTCAGAGAGGGCCATAACAAGGCCCATTTCACCACTACCCAGCCATGTACCATGTACCTTGTCCCTCCAACCCCAGCACTGGATGTCCCTGTGTCCCTCACCTGGCACTGGGTGTCCCCAACCCCTGTGCCCAAGCAATGCTGTCCCTGACCTTGTCTCCAGCTCTGGGTGTCCTGCCGCCCACCCACAGTGTGTGTCCCTGTCCCCTCTGGGCCATGGGTGTCCCCATCACCGTGTGTCCTTGTCCCCAACCCTCACTGAGGATCCCAATCCCCCCAGGTTGTTCCCAAGATGTCACCTCGCAGCCACTCGCAGTTGTAGTTGCTGGAGTTCCCAGTGGAGCGAAGCACAATGTTCAACAGGGTTCCTTCTGTGTTGACATCAGTGACCTCAAAGGTCTCGAAGGGTGGGATCGGCAGCATCTCATGTTGTGTGATGGAGAATTTCTGGATGACAGAAATTTGTGGATTGAAAAATCTGTGTCAGAAATAGACTTGCAATAAATCTGCATGAGATATTCCACCACAAAGCACCCTGGCGTTAATTTCGGAGAAAGGAATTTCAGCCCCAGAGGTGAGGCCTGGATAGAGTTGTGAAGATTGAGAATTGTCTGCTTATCTAAATGCACACAATAAAGAGGGAGACTGGGTGGGTCGGTGGTGAGAGCTAACTCCCAATAACCAGGTCAGGCTCTCCTCAACTGATGCTGCAATTTGTAATGGAGAGAAGCACCAGCAAAGCTCTAGGGAATCGATGTGATGGGAACTGGTCTGTGGCCTCAGATCCTCAGCGACCTTAGGACAAATCTGTCAGGTCTGTTACAGAGCAATGCTCAATGTGTTTTCAAAAGAACACTTGGAATTCAAAACCATTGCCTCCAGGAATCACTGAAAGTGGAAACACTCCAAATGATAACTGGCAAATGTATTTTCTGAGCTACCACGCCAACATGGGCTCAGGTATCTCCTGGTGTTGGTGGATCCCCTCTTGGAGGTCCAGAACTTCTCGTGCCACACCAACAAGGCCAGGGAAGTCACCCAGACACTCCCCCAAGAGATCATCTCCAGGCTCAAGGTGCCGGCAGGGATGTCATCTGATAGGGGACCCCAATTGGTATCTGGGATAAGGCATCAACTCAGTGAGCAGTTGGAAGTGGGACTGGATGGAACTGAGGGGACATGGGACCATGGGATTGGGTTCCTGGGGGGTGAGCAATAAGAGAGAGAAGAGAAAGTTTCAGATCCCTTAATGGTGCTGGATAGCACTTAAAGAAGAACTAACAGAAAACCAATAAAAGGATGTAAATGTGTGTCCACAGAAGAACAAAGGGGCTGGAACGTGTGGAGAAAGAGATAAAGGGAACTCCAGTGAGGGGTGTTTGGCAAATTCTGTAACACAGAACAAGCAGTGTCTGTCAAAAGTGAAAGCTCAAGCTGAGGTCATCTGGCATACTGAGGCATGCACTGAAAACCACACTGAGAAAACTCATTTTTAGGACTCCCCAGTACCATAAAAGAATTTTCAGAAAGAGGTGGAGCCATGCAAATTATTGCTAGGAAAGGTGAAGTTTCTGTACTAGGTGAGGGACACATTTTAATGAATATTTATAATTAGGATGGATAAATACCCCTTGGCAAAGTCCCCCCTGAAGTGCAGGAGCAGGAGAGATCTGTTGTGTATCTGAGCTGATAAAGAATTCTGGCTTTCTCATACTTGCGATTCCATCAGGGAGTTCACTCCAGCTGATTTTGGTATCAGGGCTGGGGGGACTCCAGGGGGACTCTTGTGGGGGAGGCACGGGACTGAGGGATTGGGATTGCTGACATGGGGGAACACTGGGGAGTCACCGGTCTGGGATTGGGGTCATGGGGGGCTCTGGGGGAAAATGAGGGGGGACGCGGGATGGTGAGAGTTGGACTGGTGTCATGGTGGGGGCTGTCCGACTCTTTGGGGGCAGGGGGTGATGCATGGATTTTGGTTGAGGTCCTGGGATGACAGCAAAGAAATTGGGGACTGGTAGTGGGATTGTGGCCTGGGGCTGGGCTGAGGGGGACACTGAGGGGCGCAAAGGGTGACCCCAGGATTTGGATTGGGATCCTGCTGGGGCTGAGGGGACTTGTAGTCATGGGAGTAGGATTGGGCTTCTGGGGGCCTTGGTATTGTGGGATTGGGATCCCTGGGGCTGGGGCACATTGGGGAGGCATAAGTAACTACGGGGTTGGGGATCAGGGACCCCAGACTTGCCCTGGGGTCTGCTGGCCACGAATGCCTCTCCTTCCCCTGGGCTGCCCCCACTCCCCTGCCCAGTCCCTCTCTGAGGAACCCTCCCTCTGTCTCCTCTGTGTCCCCCAGTGTCCACACTTGCTCGCTGTGGCCTCTCCTCTTCATGGCCCCTCTGGCACAGACCCTGGCACTGCTGGCAATGGCCATGGCTACTGTGGCCGATGAGATGAAGCCCCTGGACATGGCCCTGAACTCCTTCGATGACCAGTACCGGGGCTGTGGCCCTGACATGATTGCTGCATTGCCGGTCCTCAACCGCTCCGAGTCTGAGCAGAACAAGAAGTTTGCTGAGGTCTGGGCAAAGGCTACAGCTGAGTGGCAGAGGCAGGGACCCCCTGAGTCCCCTCTGTCCCCAGACCGGGTCATGGCCACCATGGCCTTCACAATGGATGGCCTCCACAGCGTGTTCAATGATGCCGTGCGCGTGGCCGGGCGTTCCCACCAGGAATACCGGGACAACTTCCACTTCAAAACGCTGCATTTCCTGCTGACGCAGGCCCTGGCAGCAACGAGAGTCAGTCTTCAAGGGCAGTGTTATGACATGGTCCAGCACGTGTGTGGGATCTGGTTCAAAGCACATCATGGTGCTATAGTCCGGTTTGGTCACTTCACGCCAATATGGATGGGAGATGAGCCTGCACAGTGCTCTGGGAAGGAGACGGAGTTCCAGGTGCACACATGCGAGGGCGCGAGTGTCGGCATAAAAATCGTAGATTCCCCAATTCAGTTCATTCGGATCCCACCGTTTGAGACCTTTGAGGTCATCCAAGTCACCCAGATAGGGGACAAGGCAAAAATCCAGCTCCGCTCCACCGGGACGTACAGCAAATACAACTGCGAGTGGCTGCAAGGTGATGGCACAGGGGACAGCCTGGGGTGATGGGGACACTCACTGTGGCCATGGGGACACCCATGATAAGGCACAGGGCACCAGGAAATTCACTGGGGATAGTGCAGGGACACCCAATGTGTGGGGGAAGACAAGGACGCCCTGTGCTGGGGACCCCAAATCTGGGGACACCCACTGTAGGGACAGGAATGCCCATGAGAGGGCACAGGGATGGGGATCCCCACTTCTGGGAGGGAAAATGGACAGGGACACCCGTGTCATGGGACAACAGGGACAGGGAAAGAGATGGGGCTCTGTACCTACCCTGTCCCGCGCCGCCAAAGGCCATGCTGTGGGGATGGGCCCTGTGTGCTGGATATGGGTGGGTCACGGACACTCCCTGGCACTCCCTGAACCCCTGCCTCCCCCTCAAGGCACCTCTGACTCCTCCTGACCCCTGTCACTCCTAAGGCCACCGTGACCCCCAACCCCCCTGGCCTTTGTACCCCCCATGCCCCCCCCCAACACCCTGTCACCTGTCAACTCATGGGCCCCGTCTCTCCTGTAACATCGAAGCCTCCATTATTGCCATCCCTGACCCCTTCACTCGCCTCATGGTCCCCCTGATCCTCATCTTTTTCCCTCAGGTGGGAGTGTCCCCAGTGCCCCCTTCCATGGTGGAGGACTCCTCCTGGCCACCGCAGCCCTGACACTGGCCACTGGAATCCTCTGAGCCATGAGGCCACCGAGGTAACTGTGGTGACTCTGGCAACCAAGATCACTGTTGTCATTGTGGCCACCACGATCACCAAGACCTCCAGGACTCCCAGAGAAACAACACCACCAGGGCTACCAAGGCCACCACTGCCACTAGGGACACCCTGGCAGCTATTGCCACCATGAGGTGACTGGGGCCACCACTGTCACTGTTGCCACTGCAGCAACCACAGCCTCTCTGGCCACGATGGTCACAATCACCATTAAGGCCACTTTGGCCACCATGATCACCAAGACTCCTTGAGCCATGAGGATACCACAGACACTGTGACCACTGTGGCCACCAAAGCCATTGTGCAAACAGTTCTATAAAATAATTCAGTCAAAAGGATTCCATTAATTAAATCTGTAACAGCCAGCCAAAAGTGACAATTCTTAAGCAAGGCTCAATGTCAATCCCCACACCAACACTTGTGGGAACGTCTCTTTCTCCCAGCCTCGAGGAGGATCCTTGAGGAGCATCCCCTTCCCAAGAGAAGAACCTCCCACACATTTCATTCCAAGCAGGAATAGGGGAGAGGAATCTCTGTCTCAGAGGGGACTGGACATTCCCAGGGTCAGCTGATGGATGGCCAGGCCCAGCTCTGGTGATTTACCCTCAGTTGTCAATTCAGAGTTGGTTTTAGCCCAATTCAGCACCAAAATCAGCACAAGATCTCTCTCAGTGCAGCCTCAAAAGCCACAAATGGGGCATTGTCCTTTGGGCACATTTCAGGTAAAGCATCCTGACATATCCTGCACTTCAGGGGGACCCTAATGGCTAGAAATTGTGAGATTCAAGAGGGCTGGGGCAGGTTTGGTCACTGGGGAGGAACAGTCCCCAGTGCCATCCCTGGCTGGGGGCACCTGTTGGAGCAGCTCTGGAGAAGGACCTGGGAGTGCTGGTGGGTGACCAGTGGAGCTGGCTCTGTGGTCTGGGACCAGGAGGGATGCAGGGGGCATTGAGAAGAGCAGAGCCAGGAAGTCAGGGAGTATTCGGGACCCTCTGCCCTGCCCAGGGAGGCACTTCAGGAGTGCTGTGCCCAGCTCTTCACAGTGCCGTGTCCTGTCCTGGGCTGCTCTGGACTCAATCCTGGGCTCAGGGATCAGGCTGCCTGAGCTGGGAGGTTGGGCCAGGGGCCCACTCTGGGTCCTTCCAGCCTCACCCATTCTGGGATTTGGGGATTCTGGCAGTTGTGGTCCACGTATTGTCCACTGGAGAGCAGCAGCAGCCAGAGCGGGCAATCAGCGGCACTGCGCATGCGCTGCTCCCAGCTGCAGTTCCGGGTGCCAACAGCAGGCGGCAGCACGAGCTGCTGGCACTGCCGAGCGCCCACCCCGCCCCATCCCGGCCCCGGGGGCTCTGCAATGGTTTGGGATGGAGTGACCTTACAGCCTGTCCGGTGCCAGCCCTGCCATGGGCAGGGACTTCTTCCCCTGGATTGGGCTGTTCTTGGCACTGCCCAACCTGGCCTTGAACTGTTCCAGGAGTGGGGCAGCCACAGCTTTGTTATAGATGGCTAATATGATGATTGACTCTCAAAATTAAGGGATGAATATTGTGTTTATATTAAGCGAAATTTTGTTGATGTATGGTTATGTTATTTAGTTTGTGGTTTTGACACTCTGTGTTCTCCACATTGCCCCCTTTCCCCCACCTGTATTGTTGTACAGGACAGCTGTGGTTGTCAGGATTGTCAGGGACATATACGTGTGCCCCTTGCATGGGGTGGTTGGGAATGGGGAAAGCCTGTTGCTGCGGGGACGCGTGGCATGGCAACATCTCACCTCCTACCACACTGCAGGAAGGTCTCCACCAATGGACAGCATGGAACAGTTAACTGGCAGACGGTGGGAGGGCCAGGGATTAAGAAGGAAAATGTGTGAATATGTATGACTGCTTATGAATATGTATTTGGCTGATGCAACACCAGGGGTATAAAGGACAGAGCCGACATTTTGTGGATGAGACTCTGACTGCAGCTGAGCATATCGCTTAGGATTCAAGTGGAACATTTGTGCTATCTACCTTTTGAGCAGAAAAATTCACCTTGCCAGAGATTTACTTGCAGAAAGGAGACAGAAGTGCCCTGTAATTTTATTCAGGATCAAAGGAAGAGGCCATGGGAATTTCCCAATGGGGTGTCTCAAGTTGCTGGATGATGCAGCCTCCTTTGTATCCCAATTTCCCAGCCATACCACCCGCTGTCTTTCCCCATTGGTGGAGGTACTTGGAAGGTGCAGAGTTCCCAATCCACCTACTGAATGTCCCCTTTGCTATGCACCATACCCTTCTTTAACACAGACACAACACCATTAAAATGAGAGTCAACTCCACCCTGGGTGGGGAAATTAATATTCATAAGCCTGTTAAATCTTTGTTCTTCTTCTTTAAATTCAGGAATTTGGCAGGGCCTTGTCTGAGCAGCAGTCTGTGTCAATGAAGAATATTTTCTGAAACTGATAGTTTCTCCTGTCACTTCCTTATCTACAAGTTCCAGGCCCTATCTACCACCAGATTCACACAATCTATTTGTAGAGACACATTCCTCTTATTCCTTTCTAGGTTGAATTAATTGGGATGCGGAAATTGAGTTTGCTTGGGTTTAAATCCTGAATATGTGGGAATTCACAGAATTTGGCCAAGAACGAAAAGAAATGAATTTTCAAAGAAGTAAAGGGCAGTTAACGAAATGTTGTGGGTGGGGAGTAGGTAGAATTTTCTTTTTCTCTTCTCTTCCTCTTTTTTCCCTTTTTTCTGCCCAGGGAAAATGGCATTGGTGGCCTTGGTAGCCTTGGTTGCCTCTTTTCTCTGGCGGTCATGGTGGCTTTGGTGATTGTGGAGACCACGGTGACCTTCATTACCTCGTGGCTCAGACAATCCTGGTGGCCACTGCCAGGGCTGTAGTGGCCAGGAGGAACCCTCTGAGGTGGTAGGGGGCCCAGGGGATGCTCCCACCTGGGGGGAAAAAGAGGAGGATGAGTGGTTCATGGAGTTGAACAGGTTGAGGCAGGTCAGAGAGGGGTCAGGGATTTCAGGGGTACAAGGAGGGGCATGAGGGGAGTTCAGGTGGGATGGAATACCATGGGGGTGGGGATCAGGGTAGTCAGGAGGGCCACGGGGGCTGTCTGGGGTTCAGAGGGGGCCATAACATGAGGTGAGTAAAGATGGGTGCCACAGGCAGTGGGAAGGTTGTTGGTGACCAGTGGCTGGTGTGCAGGAGGGAGGTTTGTGGTCAAGGGGCCATGGGGGCTTTAGGGATGATGGGGTGTCAGAGGGGCAGTGGGGTAATACAGGGAGCAAGGGGTTTCAGGGGGACCATGATGGTCTTTGGGGCTGACAGGTGTTGGGGGAGGTAGGGGGTGCCATGAGGGGTGTCAGGGCGGGTGGGAGAGGTTCAGGGGAGGTCAGGATGGTCCTGGCCCACCAATGACCATCTCACAGGGCTGGTCCCCAGAGAGCTGGTCTGCAGAGCGGAGGGACAGAGACAGCAGAGGAGGGCTCCTATCTCTGTCCCTTTCTCTGTCCCTGTATCTGACATTCCCTGGAAGGGGTGTCCATGTCCCCTCCCTGCACCCTGTCATGTGTGTCTCTGTCCCTGTCCCCCATCACCTGTGGGTGTCATTTTCCCCTGTGCTTTTCTCATGGGTGTCCCCATACCCGCAGTGGGTATCCCTGTCTTCCAGGTCTTCCCCATGATGTCACATCGCAGCCACTCGCATTTGTATCTGCTGAAGGTCCCACTGGAGCGGAGCTGGATCAATGCCCTGTCTCCTTCCTGGGTGACACTGGTGACCTCAAAGTCTCGAAGGGTGGGATCAACACCTCCTCCTCCTCACTAGGATTGGAGGAGAATTCTCGGATATCCTTGCCAAAACACGTCTGCACCTGGAACATCGTGTCTGTCCCAAATTGCTGAGCAATCTGTTTATGCAGTGATGTTGACGTGAATTGACCAAACCAGATGGTGTTACCACACCGCCTCGAACAAGACCCTGCGCGTCCCCTGGAACACTTGGTGACATCGTGGTCCCCGAATGTCCCTCAGTGTCACCAGAGCATCAGTCAGCAGGAAATGCAGCGTTTTGAAGTTGAAGTTGTCCCCCTATTCTTGGTGGGAGCGCCTGGCCACATACATGGTGGCGTTGAACTCCTTGTGCACATCCTTCATTGTGTAGGTCATGAGGGCAATGGCCTGGGCTGGGGACAGAGGGGTCACAGGGGGCCCCCGCCTCCACCACTCGGCTGCAGCCTTCACCCACGTCTGGGCAAACAGAGGGTTCTGCTGGAACTC